TTGAATTTCTCAACTGGGTTCGCTCTATTTTGCTCTTGCTAGTTCTCAGAGGCAAATCGTCGAACATTCCCTTATGGCTTCCATTGGGTCTCTGCCTTTTATGATAGAGACCAAGACTGAAAGCTCTGTGCTTCTTCACAGCAATAATAATCGCCGACTCAGATTCCCATTCTTCACGCATCGTCCGGGAAGCTCCGTTGAAGTTAGTGGTATCAATGCAGAAGTTGTGGGAATGTGCAGTAGACAGATTAATTGGTGCACAAAAGGGAAGCTTTGGAAGATTGAGCCTCTTAGAGCGACTGGTAAGGTCTCTGTGGAAGGCGAGGACGGTGGCGAGCCAGAGGATGCGCTTCGGGCCACCATTGAAAAGAGTAAGAAGGTTCTTGCTATGCAGAGAGACCTACTTCAACAGGTAATTTCAGCAATTACTCTCTTTTATAACGAAAATAATCAATTATAGGCCAAAGGTTAATACTTTCTGTCTTCTTAGTAGTTAAGGGGAGTTGAAAACTTAAAATAAGCAAATTTGTGTTTGTAGATTGCTGAAAGAAGGAAATTGGTATCTTCTATACAAAGTAGTAGTATAAACCAAGAAGAAGACAAAGCTTCTTTTGAACAAGTGAATGACTCATTTCCAAATGTAGAAAGTTCTTCAACTAGTGGTGACAATACTGTTGAAGACCAAATTGGTAGCATTGCTTCGAGCAGCTATGGTGATTCAACTGAAGATAAGGAATTAGAAACCGTACCTTCTGCTGTTAGTAGAGGACTTGATAAAATAGAGAAGGATCATGGAGAACCTTTACCACTTAATAAGGCTCCCAGTGAGGTAGATTCCACTAAGCATGTGAATAAGACTAGTTCCAAGACAGAGTGGTCTGATGCTTTGCCATCTTTTATTTCAACTACCGCTAAGACGTCTACTCCAATAGATGAAGAGCTTGTAGATCTGAAAGAACCAAGTTTAGAGGAGGTCAATAATTGGGAAACCGATCTTATGAGTGAAGACGTAAAGCCCCCTCCTTTGGCTGGGGCCAATGTCATGAATGTCATATTGGTAGCTGCAGAATGTGCTCCTTGGTCGAAAACAGGTAATGTTTAATAAGCCCATAATATGTGAAGGCAATATCATTTATAGGGTCGATAATGATCCTTGTATGCATGTAGAGGCTGATAATGAAGAGTTCTTGTAGGTGGGCTTGGAGATGTTGCTGGGGCCTTACCGAAGGCTTTGGCTCGGCGCGGACATAGGGTTATGGTAATACTTATTTTTTATAATATTTAAAATTCGAAGTAATGAGAAACCTCTTTCTGAATTTCTTTGTTGAGAAATTTCATGGAAAATGAACTGGTAATATATTGAAATTTTAGGCATGGGGTTTAAGTGAACTGAAATTTCCAGGATGTGTGTTTAATGGAGCTCCCATTTGATTTACAATTTTATGGCTGTTAAAACCCAGAGTTCCTTCCTCTCTCTCTATCTCTCTCTCTCTCTCTCAGGTTGTGGCACCTCTATATGGTGATTATGCGGAACCCCAATATTCTGGAATTCGGAAAATATATAAAGTTGATGGCCAGGTCTGCAGCATTTGATTGTAACTAATATTCTATCAAGTTCTCAATTAGATAGGTTTGAACTTCTCATTTTTTAACGAATAACTTACTTTGCAGGATCTGGAAGTAGCATATTTCCATGCCTTCATTGATGGCGTAGATTTTGTATTCATTGAATGTCCTATGTTCCGTCACATGGGGCATGATATATATGGAGGAAAGCGTGAGGTAAGAGATGTTTGTTGTCAGTTTAGCTTCAATTGGTTCTCAAGAGGGATAAACAATGTTTTCCTTATAGATGATTTGTTTTTGTTGAGATTTATGTTAGATTGCTTTTGCAATGGTAGTATGGCAGATTTATCTTTAGAGACAACAGCTGAAGAACCACTACCACATAAAAGAATGACTGTGACTTAGTGGCACCTCCTTCTCCTGAGAACTCTTGTATCTATATCATGTGTACTCCTCATTAACGAAGATTGCTCCCTATATCATCTATTTGTTTATTATTGCATCAGAATCCCCATGGGCTGGAAGCCTGCCTGACCAACCCATGATGTGTAAGGTTTGTCCAGATGGGACTTGGATGGGTTTAGTTTCTTAGGTACAAACAAAGTTTGGGCTTCAAAAATAGGGCTTCGTCTAGCATTGTAGAATAAATTGATTAAGACTGGGTAAGAATAGACGGGGACTTGCTCATACACTCTATGATCTTAATTTATTTGTGATTAGAAATGTGAAGGTAAACTAGGGATAGATAACTTAACAAGACAGCCGGCACAAAGCTGAGCTCAGGCATCCTCATTTCCTTTCATGCTGGAAAAATTGAGCCTAAGCTTGGCTGGCTTCTCATTCTTGTTGGTGCTCCTGCTGTGATTCTTGCTTTTAACATAGATGATCCAGTGTACCATTAATGTAAATAAATAATCTAAGTTCCTCCTTGCAGTGTGGATCACTGTTATTTACATGTAATTTTAGAGCTGATTGAGTCTTACATTCCTTTGGTTTTATGGTGCAGGACATTTTAAAACGCATGGTGTTATTCTGCAAGGCAGCTGTTGAGGTACACTGGCTCAATGCCCCTTTCTATAGAGTCAAATAAGCAAATTCTGTTTTTCAAATCTCAAGCATTACTTATGTGATGGATGTCATGTTAATTCTGAAATCAGCTTTTTCTCTTTTTGTTGGCTGGAATGTTGAAGTCAGTTCTACCTGAGCTCTTTCTTTGTTCTTTTTATCTGCTTAGACGCAATAAAGGCAAAAAAGCTTGTTGCTGCAGGTCCCTTGGTATGTCCCGTGTGGTGGTGTTTGCTATGGCGATGGAAACTTGGTTTTCATTGCAAATGACTGGCATACTGCATTGTTGCCAGTGTACTTGAAGGCATATTATCGAGACAATGGCTTAATGACATATACAAGGTCCATCCTTGTAATCCATAACATAGCTCACCAGGTTTGTTCTTTTGATAAAGTTCATTTAACTGAAACTAAGACTCAAGTCATTTTATTGTCTAATGGAAGCTCGAGCTGTTTTTTCCATCCTTTAGTTTAGAAAGGAAGCTAAAACATTTTCTATATCAGTCGGTTGATCAGTTTTACTGTTTTATATAGAAGAGAGATAATTGACAACAAGGTGCTTAGAAGATTTCATACAACCTAGATTGACTTAATGTCCGCACTTTGTTGCCAATTGAATTGACATGAAAAGCAATTTGATCATTTTTCTCTTATAGTGTATGTAAAAGCAACATCCCAAAATGAATAAATTGCAAAGATGATCCAAGATCGCTTATTAGAATGGACTTTCAAGCAAAGTCCCTTTTCAAAGGTTTAAAATGTCATCATAGTATAAAGAATTCTTAGCATTAAAAATTATGAAGTTTTAAGAATTAAGTTCATATTTGTATTTTATCAGGGTCGGGGGCCGGTAGCTGATTTCTCGTTTGTTGATCTTCCGGGCCACTACCTGGACCTTTTCAAATTGTATGACCCTGTTGGAGGTGAGCACTTCAATATCTTTGCAGCTGGTCTAAAGACAGCAGACCGTGTGGTTACTGTAAGTCATGGATACGCCTGGGAGGTTAAAACAGTTGAAGGTGGTTGGGGATTACATGGGATCATAAATGAGAATGACTGGAAATTCAAAGGCATTGTTAATGGAATTGATACGCAAGAGTGGAACCCACAACTTGATGTTTACTTGACATCAGACGGTTACACGAACTACTCCCTGGCGACACTTCAGACTGGCAAGCCTCAGTGTAAGGCAGCTTTACAGAAGGAGCTGGGTTTGCCGATCCGGGAGGACGTCCCTGTAATTGGGTTCATTGGGAGGCTGGATCAGCAGAAGGGTGTTGATCTCATAGCAGAGGCAATTCCTTGGATGATGGGTCAGGATGTGCAACTAATCATGTTAGGCTCTGGCAGACCTGACTTGGAACAGATGCTGAAGGAGTTTGAACATCAACACCGAGACAAGGTCAGGGGATGGGTTGGTTTTTCTGTACAAACAGCTCACAGAATAACCGCTGGTGCAGACATTTTGCTCATGCCCTCAAGATTTGAGCCATGTGGACTGAACCAATTATATGCTATGAACTATGGGACAGTTCCAGTTGTTCATGCTGTTGGTGGACTGAGAGATACCGTGCAGCCTTTCAATCCATATGATGAGTCAGGACTTGGGTGGACATTTGACAGTGCTGAGGCCGGTAAGTTAATCCATGCATTATGGAACTGCTTATTGACTTACCGAGAGTACAAGAAGAGTTGGGAAGGAATCCAGAGACGAGGGATGACACAAGACCTCAGTTGGGACCATGCTGCTCAGAATTATGAGGAGGTTCTTGTGGCTGCAAAGTACCAATGGTGAACCATTGCTGTTTGATGGCTACGATTTTGACCTTTTGCAAGCTCTATCCACGTATAGTGATATGCCAGGGTTCTGTTAGGAAAAGTTACTGCGGAAGTTGTTACTCTGTAAATATTGTTCAAAGAATCTTTCTTTTTCTTTTTCTGATCACATGGTTACTCTTTGTACTCAGTCCAGCATGCAAAAGTGGTACATTCTATGGTAGTGAAAGAATAATCATTGTTTCGCACTCTTGTTTTTAGTCACTTTGGTTTCTTTTGCTTTTTCAGGGTAAAGAACAATCCTCTAAATGTTCAACGAATTCTGGGAACTTAAGCCTGGAAGAGATCAAATTTGACCATGCAGAAGCTTCAACTTACGTTGCCTCGGCCAATTATCTGATCAATCTAAGGCATGCATGACACATTTTTTTGATCCGAAGCACTAATCGTGAATTGCTAAAAATCCTATATCATTGGGCATTCTAATTTACAAAAAGTAAAAATAGAAAACGCATTGTAAGTGCGAGGATGAAGAAAAAGAAAATCACCATTTCCATTTCAATTGGCCTCCATAATTTCATTGATGATTAAAATTCAGACAATTTATCTCAATACACCAGGAATTCAAATTAATTTTATTGATTTTATCAAATCCCAATAGAAGCCTATTAACACTCGCCAACAAATCAATATGACAGACATCCCCAGAAAACAACTCTAATTGCTTTCTGAAGCATCCAAATATGTCAAATCTTATCTCTCTCCACATCAAACACACTTTGATACTTGTGACTTCCTATGTAAATGAAACTCCCCTGTCCCGATCAAACTGCAGACAGGAACGTGTTGAAAGCAGCCCTGCAAATCCCTTCAACAGGCAACCTTCAACCGCACATGGAGATTTGGAAGAATTCAATGGACTGCTATGTCTAATGATTTCCATGCAGCCATCTACAGTACTTCCTGTTGTATTGTCCTCCCAGTTTGCTGGTATGTAAGACATCGGTCGACTTCTCTTAATGCTTAATGCAGGCTTCAAGTCTGCAGGATGTGTGGGGAAGAGGGTGGCTGAGGACTCCATTTCGTCAATTTGAAGGTCACCAGGTAACTTCCTCTTCAAACCAGGTAAAATCTTCAAGCCTGCACCACAATATTATTAGGATGAAAGCTTGGGCCTTAAATTTCACTGCCTACAAGTCTGGCATTTGCTAAGGTAACAAACAGGTAGTGAACAGTGGGACTACGCTTCCAAGTATACTGATTGACATACCAGGAAGAGGATCATCATATGTGCATGACCAGGATTCTGAATCACCACAGTTACAGTTGAAGTTAGAATTTTCATTAGATCCTGAAACCCTGCAAGACAAAAGATACATAGGAATTATGCCTTCAAAATGAATAACAAAACTGTAGTTTCAATGGTTTTATATCCTTTTCCTAGCACTTCTCCTGGTATTGTCATAAGTCTGTCTATTAATTCATTTAGGTAGGGCTACCATTATTTAGAGTATTTACAGCCTCAAACTGTCACACTCCATCTCCAAAACTTATGGAAAGGAGAAGCCATTTGGCACAATGGAACAAACATTATGAGGGTATAGAGATCAAACCTGTACATATGTTCAACAAAGTCATCTATTAAAACAGGCCAAGCTCCTGCAAAGATGATTAAATCAATGAACATTTCTTATAGAAACGACAGCTTTTTTCCATAACAGATAACATAAAGTTGTCAACCTCTCATGCAGTCTTCATACAAAACTCGGACCCAAAACAATAATAATAATAATAATAATCAAAATAATAATCACACCCATCAGATATAAAATTGATGGTATATACCTTCAGGATCATACCCTTCCAAATTTTCATGCACACACCGGCTAAAAGCTAAAACTTGCCTCCAGGTATCTTCAGAGATGTTATGCCGCTGATTTTTCTAAGAGGAATACCAAATGTTAGTTGCCTTTGAAACACACTTACGCACATGAACCCACAAAAGACTACATTCTTATACATTGAAATATTGCTTAATATACATGACTTGTACGAGATGCATGTTCCCATTTCCCAAATGAAACAAGCTGACATTGACTGTAAAACAATTCCTCAAAATGGCACTGGTAGTTGGGGGGAGGAAAGGTATGCGATATACAATAAAATAAAATAAAAAAGGTACAAAAAATTCCCTCAAAATGGCACAAGCAACTATTGGGAGCCATCATTTTGCTTTCAAGAGTATAACTGTAAGCTTCAGCTTGTATATATCAAAACTACATGGCATAGAACAATGAACTTTGGTCTACCCATGGTCATCATTAGTGAAGAAACATTAGTTCTACTTCAACACAATAAATATATCTACCAAAAAGACTAGAAAGCATTGAGTTGTAAGCAACCTCAGAATGTCTGTACCTCAACAAAATCACACCATTGATTCAGCAACCGAAACCTCCCAGCTAATACTAACCTCCATGCAGTAATCGCCTTATTTACAGCTGCAAATAATTCAAGAAAAAAAAAAGACAGGTAAAGGAGGTTTCATAGGGCTATTCTAGGGAATGAACAGAAATGGCTAAGAATTATTATAATGAGTTTTATAACGCAAGAAAACTCACTGATATTCTTCTGACCATTTTCACGGCACATAAAGAAAACAAAATCATAGAAGCGCGAGAATTCAGAAAAGTCTACCTGTAAAGGGAGGATTTTTCTTTTGTTAATGGAACGCTAAGGTAGGAACCACAATTAGGCAATAGCATATAAAGCACTCTTTTTTTTCTTGAAGAATTAGACATCACTCATCAATTAACAATAATCTACTTAAAAAATTTCGATGAGTAAATCTTACCACCAAGTCTAACCGTGACATTAGCTTGAAAACTTCATCAAAAATTGATATCCTGTCAAAGTGGACACTCTACTTTATAAAAATCTGACAATAAAAGGGGAAACAAAATGCTCGAATGCTAAAATTAAGTGCCAGAATGTTACTTAAAATTGGAAATAAGGTTCTACAGCATGATACAGGATGACCACGTCCTAAGGGTGCTCCATATCATGTTCTGTTGAATAACTGTAGCTTGTATATAGAGATTTATACCTAGGATGTAGTTTCAACTGCACCAGATTTAAGAGCTGAATTAATGCCTCCCTTGAATATTTAGTCATCTGTGATTCATTGTTTCCTCTGTAATCATCCCCATGACCATATCCATTTACTGTCCTGACATCTGCCATTTAACAGTCAGAATTACTACTCTAGACTCATTAATAATCCAAATTGAAACTTTTAAAATGACTGGTGATAATTTACATAACAAACAACTCATATCTGATTAACGAAAAGAAAGCTTTTCTTCCTGCGTGCAGGTAGAGTGTTTGAGGAAGTATATCCAAGGACAAGCTACATGAAATCAGAAATGCATTTGCTTTATTTTCTAAGATGGTTAAAGATAATCCAAAACCTTTTTTGGTAGTTCACTGACAGTGACAAATGCAATTATCCAGCATAAAAAGATTAACTTTCATGCAGTGAGATGAAGCTGATAATTGATCAAAGCCTAGAAGACAAAGGAAGCAAGAAATATATAGCCTTTGCACCATATCTATCACAAAGCTGGGATTTTTATAGAATGGAATCTCAAACAAGCAGATTGACGTATTAAATTCAGCTCACTGCAGGTCTTCACGTGAGCTAAACACTGAAAAGATCATAGTTTCAGACTGGAATTCCCCTCCACATTTTCTCAGCGATCAAACAGAGAATAATTAACGACCCAACTTCAGTAAGGAAAACATCGCAAAAGTAAAGTGCCCATTTTCACATTTTCTGGCACCAAAAAGAAAACTTTTGACAACCCAGCAGAAAGGAATTAACGGCTTTGTAAACACACCAAAAAAACCTACAAAATATTCAAATTTCATAGCCAAATAAATGAACAACCTCGAGAAAAAGAATTGGCGCTAAATATGAATTCAGAGCATAAAATCAATGAACAAGAGCGTGAAATGACAATCGGAGAAATAAATATAAGAAAGAGGTAGAGGAAATTACCACAGTATCGGCGATAAATCCCAAATATGTCGAAACGAGTGGACACGGTTGGATCCATCCAGCTCCGGCGAGCTACGGTCTTAACTAGGAGGAGGCGTGGGGTTGGCCTCTACTCTCTACACCAACACCAATT